TTGAAGCTGTGTACAAGTGTTTACAACAGAAGTTTTACAGTGTTATATCATAGATGAATCTATAACAGGTATGTACATTATTTACTCTTACTACCGTTTTGAAATATTAATTACCACAAAAGTTATGTACCATGAAACTTAGCATTTTTTTAACGAATTTTAAAGTAAATTTTGACTTTAAAATTGAAAAAGTTGTAGTGCGCATTGAAACCCTTTTAGTTTTTTTAGTTTTTTTATGAGTTTATACCACTAGCTATTTAAAAATCTTAATTTCAACTGCCTGTTGATGCCATCTAAATTTTAATCATGTTCTAAGCACATCAAGGTCAGGGTTATATATATATATATATATATATATATATATATATATATATATATATATATATATATATATATATATATATATAGTCAAGAATATATATATATATATATATATATATATATATATATATATATATATATATATATATATATATATATATATATATATATATATATATATATATATATATATATATATATATATAGATGCCATCTAAATTTTAATCATGTTCTAAGCACATCAAGGTCCATGATGAATTTTTCAACTTAATTTTTTTTTTCTAGATGGGTCATCAGGAATGCAAAAAATCTCTCGTTTGGATTTCTAGAGCAGTATTCAGCAGCAGGAGGCTCCAAGTTTCAATGAAAAAATGGATTTAGCTGATCAAAATTTGTTATCAAGAAATCAATATACCGAAGAACTAAAAACAGTATACAAGCGTCAAATGTCGAGGTTGAAAGCTATTTTTAGAAAAATGTGGTCGTCTTCATCCAGAACTCATGAAATATTTATTAAGAAGCATGGCCCTTAGCTGAAAGGGAGTTTCCAAATACCGGGTACCCCATCCAATCCACCATCAGCCGGACGACCAAAATAAGTTTTGTCGATTCTAGTGAACGTTCAAAGAGGAGAAAAACAGAACAGCTTAGGAAAGATGTGGAACCAGAAGCTATTGTTTTTGCAGCTGAAACTTGTTTGGCAAAAGAAGTGCTGTAAACGTCCTCAAAGATCTTAAAACATCTCCCAAACGAGCGGGAAAGTATAAAAAAGCCTATCGCAGCAGTCTTGAATCTACAAAAAAATTATTGACACCGTTAGAGGCTCTTTTAATATTTACTGACGTAGGCCTAACAAAATCTCAATATGAAATCGTACGTACAAGTGACAAGAAGCAATGGCCCTGCTACAGTATTTTGGTCGAAGAAAAAAAAACATGCTATTCTGATCCTGATTCGTTCACAGTCACAGAAAGTTTAGCTAAAGTAGACTTACAAAGTCTGTTAAACCATACTGCCGAAAGATTGGTGTTGTTTTTAGAAGAAGTTATCAAGACTCTAACGGAAAGTGGGAGTAAACATATGAAATTATCTACGAAATGGGATTGTGATGGCTCCCAGCAGACACAGTTTAATCAAAAGTTTGAGGATGACTCTAATTCTGATGCCAGTATATTTCAATGCTCAATGGTTCCATTACAGCTAACTTGTGGAGTAAATAAAAAGGTTATCTGGCAAAATCCTACACCATTGTCTACAAGGTTATGCAGGCCAATTCGAATTATGTTCATAAAAAAAACTGCTGATGTAATAGCTGAAGAAATTGCTTACATGGAAAACAAAATTGTAGGCTTGAAACCAACTCAACTTCAAGACATAGCAGTAGAACATGTTAACTATGATTGACGGAAAAGTCTGTAACGCAGCAACCACCACTAAATCGACCATGCGATGTTATATTTGTGGAGCAACATCAAGCAATTTAATGATTTGGACAGAATATGTGTTGACAATCAAAGCAGCTACAAACTTGGACTATCCATTCTGCATGCTAGAATACGGTGTTTTGAAAGTCTCCTTCACCTATCATATAAATTGCCTGTAAAAAAATGGCAGAAAAGGTTGAATGAAGATGAGAAGAGACTCATCTCAGATAGGAAAAAGAAAATCCAAAATGAATTCAAGAGCAAAATGGGCATTCTTGTCGACATACCTAAAGTTGGATTTGGGAATAACAATAACGGCAACACAAGCAGGAGATTCTTCAACAACCCGGAAACATCTGCAGATATCACTGGAGTAGACTTCCGTTTAATTTCCAGAATGAAAATTATCCTAGAAGTAATTTCCAGTGGCCACAAGATTGATGTAGAAAAGTTCAGGCAGTATACTTTGGATAATGCAAAGCTTATGTTGAACTATACCCCTGGGTCCTGATATAGTAGAGAATGCGCTTTTGCCAATTGGACAATTGTCGGATTAGGCTGCCGAAGCCAGAAACAAACATTTCCGGGAGTACAGACTTAGCTATGCTAGAAAATTTTCTAGAAAAGACTGTAACCAAGATAACATCAATAGATTATTGTTAACATCCGACCCTCTGGTGTCCAGCATTGGGAAAAAGAAACACAAACTTACAAAGACTTTTTCAAAAGAAGCTTGTGGAATTGCTTCCTGGAGAAGTCCAAGATTCCGACACTGAAAACAACGAAAATGAAGAGTATTCTGACAATGACAAAGTGGAATCTAATTAAATATCAAAATATAGTATGTTATTTACCATAATGAAGTTTGAAAAATAATATATCTTTAATTTCCTCAAATCCTATTGAATAGAATAAAATGTAATCCCTAAAGTACCCATCTTTCCCCTATATTAAACGCCACTAGCTTGGATTTGTACAAAAAACATTTAATTTACAATTTCTTGTCATATGGTAAAGTTTTCAGTTGTTAAAAAGAGAGATATAATTTTGGCCAGCTAAAATCGTCAAATACTAGTACTCCTGCGTGCGCCGCTATAGTAACATTTTCTTATTAAAAAAAAAACTATCCAATGAAATTGTTTTAAAACGTCATAAACAATAAAAGTATCGTAAATAAAAAATAAATTTGGTAAACAAAACTTTTATAGTTATTTTTTCATTTTGTATTTTTTGAGTTAACTATTAATAAATGTCTAAACAAAAATTGAATTACTAAATGTTTAGATTAGAATTTGTTGTATTTTTGCCGGATATACAAAAATGTATTTTATAGTATTTTATATTCCGAAAAACGTTCTTTAAAAACTTATTACTTATTTCGTAAAAAACTTTTAAATGGCGTCTCTCTAAAATATATTTTATTGATATGAATGTAACTGTTGAAAATGTTTAAAATGCTATTAAAATAGAATTAAAAACCATAGGAGGTGTTGTTAATTGGCATTAAATATTGGTCTATGGATATCGCGCTATGCATTAAAAATGAATAGAGTTTCATTTCTGTTTGTCAAGTTTAACAATTAAAGGGTTCCCATTTGAAGCCGGCGCTAGTAGGTGTCGAGTGGGGCTGGGGGTGTCATACAAGTCATGATAAAAAAAAATTTTTTTTGACGGGTAGTAGCTGTTTCGAAATTGCAAAAAGGAATAATTTTGAGAAATCGTAACCAAGAACAAGTTCGAAACTATGGAATAAATTCGAAAATATTACATTTGGAATAGCTTCGAAACCTAGTGAGATAGAATTAATTAGAAATGAAAAATAAAAAAAATTGTTTTAAAAAAGAGGAACAATATTAAAAAGGTTTTTTGAGTTGAAACTGTGCAAGCATTATTCAAAATAAAGATTTATATGTTCGTAATACAAGCAGAGCAATAGGGTTTTAATAGCTTTTTTAAATTATGCTGTTTGACTGTCTTCCAAACCCAAAACCTTTATCAGGCTCTTTCAGATGTTTTGTGAGGCCTAAGCTAGTTATATATAGAAGGTCCCAAGACAATAATTTGCGCAAAGCTTGTGTAAAACGCGACGCACGTTGGTCTAAAGCAATCAGATAGATCGAGACCACATAAACTAGTAACTTTTAGAATTAATGCAATTAATTAGACAGACCGTCACTCACAGATGTGGTGCTTTTTGTGCGTTTTTTGTTCAAAAGAAAACAAGGTGCACAATACAAAGACTGTTTTCAATACTCCAGTACAACCAGTCTCTTTTGCTTGTTTCTCCATTTGCAAGAGTTTTATTTATTAAACGATATGGAAATGCATGATGATTAGAGTCTTAAATATTGTTATTTGTTGAGCTTGATCTGTTGCCTCTGGTTCCATATCTCGAATTTTATTTGCACTTGCATTTCATCTAATAAGATCCTGTTCCTGGTTTACATTATTTGAATTTCTGCTGGTTGTTGTTCCAAAATTGGGCCTTCTGCAATCGAAACAACTTCTTTTTCAATCTTACCACTAGCACTCACACTTTAAGATTAGTTTGCTGGTTCAATTTAAACTGTATTTTAGGATTTTTTTTAAAAAATAGATATATTTTCATAGATCTAAATAATATTGAAGTTTAAAAACATAATAAATTTGTACATCAATCAAACTTATACAAATTTATATATGAAATTATGTTTAAAAAATTAAAAAATTATTTCTAGAACAAAAAAATATTCTCAAAGTTACAAAATGTAACTTACAGATGTTAACATACAAATCGTAACGTACAAAGGTGCAATCTTTCAATTTGAGCAAAATGATAAGAAATATTTCAAAATAAAGTGATTTAATCGTGTTTGATGAAGCATAACTAAAAAAGAAGAAAAAAAAAAGGAAATCTACTAAAAAGTCAATCATTTTCATCTCTTATGAGATAAAAATAATTGACTTGTATCGATTTGATCAAGCGCGCCCGACGGAGAGTGTACATGTAAGTTTGTACTTACATGTACACTCCACTATGCCTGTCCTTAATTTAGCCAGTATAAACGCCTGTCCTTAATTTAGCCAGTATAACATGTTACCTTATCGACGATTTTTTGCCGCATGCTTTCTTCATGAACAGGCGTGTTTTGCAGAGTAAAAATTAAACGAAAAATTGCTTAGTGTTTTTAAGTTTTTAGTATTAACTTTTAACACATTCCACATTACCCGCATCAAACGTTTTCATTCAAAAAGTAAGTTTAATTATCTATTGCAATGGATAAGAAAAATAATAGTGATTATAAGAAAAATAACGTTGATATCGAAAGAGATGAATCAGTTATCTCTATAAAAATGGTCTTTGGTATTGTAAACCTAAAATTAACAAATGACAGAATTGACAAATTATTAAAAGAAGCAAATAATTCAAAAGAAAAATGCAATTTGTTAGAAAAGGAAAATGGAAAGTTAAAATATTATGTTAACGAATGAAAATCTTGGAAAATGTTAATAAAGATATAGAAGAAAGTTTAACAGTCACACAAGATTTAAGAAAAAAAAGTAACTGAACTGGAAAAAAAAAATTAAAAAAAAAGAGCTCATAGAACTGGTAAAAAAGATGGTCACAAATCAAGGACTATAGTCGTAAAATTACTCCATTATAAGTACCAAGTTAAAGCGTTGCAAGCTGCTAATAGGCTTAAAGGATCCGGAATGTACATCAATGAAGATTACTTTTTCGAAACAAATGAAATAAGAAAAAAATTACTGGACGAAATGAAGTTACACCGAAAAAATGGTAAATATTCAATTATTATTTATGACAAACTTATTGTTAAAGAATTTAAAAATAAGCAACTCAGCTATTAAAAACTATATTCTATATTTTAATATTACTCTTATTTAAAATGGCTGACGATCCTGCTTTAAAATGGCTGACGATCCTGCTTTAAAAAACTTTGAACTTAATTCATTGCTAACTAAAAAATCAATACTTTTAAAAAAACATTCTAATCCGGATATTAATTTTTTTAATAACGATTTAATAAAAAATATTAACCCATTATATTATAACGTAAATTCCAAAATATAATTGAACGAATGGAGAACGACTCGATCTCTATTCTTCATGTTAATATTAGAAATATATAAAAAAAAATTTTGATTCATTTAAACATTTTTTATACAAAATTAATATGAATTTTCAAATTATTTGTCTCAGCGAGACATGGTGTGATGATAAAAATTTTGAGAACAATTACAATTTCCATTTACTATAAAGCGATTCACCAAATTAGGACCTCGAGCAAGGTAGGAGGAGATTTGTGTATTTTTATTAAGAACTCATTATTAAATAAAGTTAAGTCTGATTTAAGTTCAACCACTAATGATTATGAGTCATAGTGCATTGAACTCGTTAATAAAACCTCCAAAAATATAGTTATCCATGCTTTATACAGACCTCCTTCAGGTTCTATTAAATTGTTTGAAGACCACATTAAAAAAGTCATTAAAAACAATTCTATTAAAAAAAAACTGTCTACATGGTTGGTGACCTGAACCTCAATATTTTGGATTATGACTCAAACATAAACATTAAACAATTTTTTAACGTCGTTTTTGAAAATAGCTACATTCCTGTCATCAATAAACCTACTCGCATAACCAACAAAAGTGAAACTTCGATAGATCAAATTATCACCAACGACTTTATAAATATAAAAATAAAAAAATAGGAATATTTAAAACAGATATTTCTGATCATTTTCCTATATTCATAGTTGCCCAAAAATATAATAAAAGTGATTACTAATCAAAAGATATTTTAAAATATCAAAAGACCCACAAAGTACCCACAATGGCGCATTATCAAGGAAATCATTGGTAAAAATAATCCTGAGAGAAATACTTTTCCAAAACTTCTCAAATTCAAAGATAACAATGTTATAAAAAAAGAATTAGTGGCTGAAACACTTAATGAATTTTTTATTAATATTGGTCCGTCCTTAGCATCAAAAATCAAACCCTCTACTTAGTCTTAACCGCATACTTAGTCTCTAATAAAACTAATATTATGCCTAACGATATTCTAACTGAAGAGGAATTATTATGCGCAGTGTCTTCGATTAAGCCCAAAAAAAGTATAGGTGTTGACAATATAAATGGTAACATCATTATAAATTGAATCAAACTTATTACAATCCCGCTTTTGTATATCTTCAACAATTCTTTAAAAGAGGGAGTTTTTCCGGAAAAATCAAAAATTGCTAGGGTGGTCCCAATTTTCAAATCAGGCGATCCTAATGACGCTACTAATTATAGGCCAATCTCTGTTCTCACTTGTATTTCAAAATTTCTAGAACGAATTATGTACAATAGACTCTATTCTTTTTTAATCCAAAATAATATTTTGTACAACAAACAATTTGGTTTTAAATCTGATCATTCTACTGATCACGCAATCTTACATCTTGTCCATGATATATTTAAAGGGTTTAATGAAAAAAAATTTATTTTAGGTGTTTTCATAGATCTAAGTAAAGCCTTTGATACAGTCGATTATTTAATTCTTTTGTCTAAACTTGAGTTCTATGGCATCAAAAATTCAAACTTGACTTGGTTTAATAGTTACTTGTCTAATAGGAAGCAATATATTTCTTACGATGGTGGTAAAACAGATATTATGATCAACACATGCGGTGTTCCCCAGGGATCAATTCTAGGGCCCCTTTTGTTTCTAATTTATGTCAATGACTTGTATAAATTTTCTAATATTTTAAACACAATTTTATTCGCCGATGACACTAATTTATTTTATGCTCATGAAGACATTATTATTTTATTCTTAACAGTTAACAAAGAACTTGATAAACTAACCCAATGGTTTAAATCCAATAAATTATCCTTAAACATTGCTAAAACCAAATACACATTATTCCATTGCGTTCATAAAAAAGAAAATATTCAATTGAAACTTCTAAATCTTTTTATTGATAAAAATAAAATAAAAAGGGAAATGTCTCTAAAATTTTTAGGCGTAATTCTCGATGAAAATATTACGTGGAGAGAACATATAAGTGTAATTGAGAATAAAATTTCTAAAAATATTGGAATATTGTATAAAGCTAAACAGTTCTTAAACCAATCTAGTCTTAAATACATATACTATTCATTTATACAATGTTAACTAAACTAAGCTAACATTGCTTGGTCCAGCACCAATGTTACAAAACTAAGTAAACTTCTCTGCAAACAAAAACATGCCATTGGGATTATTACAAATGAAAATCGCTTCTCTCATACAAAAATACTTTTTAGCAAACTTAATATTCTAAATGTTTTTAAATTAAATCTCTATCATATTCTTATATTTATGTTTAAACTTGATAAAAAAATGGCACCACTTCTATTCAACTCTTTATTTAAAAAAATAAATCATATATACAGCACAAGATTTTCAAATAATAACTATACTCAATCCAAAACCTATTATTCTGCCACCAAATACTCAATCACAAACCGAGGTCCTAAATTATGGAATACACTTTTAAATAATGATCTTAAAACACTTTCTTCACTTAATCAATTTAAAACTAAACTTGAGCAAAATCTTTTACTAAACGACAATGAGCTAAATTTCTTCTAAAGCGTTCAAATGAGAGTACTATTATTAATAATTTTCAGCATAACAATTATGTTTAACAATTTAATTTTAATAATTGTTTATTAATAAGATTATTTATTCAGATCCATAAATATGATGAATAATATTACTGGCTTTTTTTTTTCGTTTATTTATTTTGTTTTGTTTTGTCTTTTTTGTTTGTTTTTCTTCTTTTTTGCTGGTCTTTTTTTTGGTTTGTTATTTTATTCCCTATTAAAAATATATTTTTAGTAAACTTTAACGGTAAAAAAAAATTTAAAAAATATGTAACTTACATTATTACAGTTTTTATAAGCATTGTAACTTACGATGTATTTATTACGGGGCTTAGTGATAAAACAACTACAGTCTTCTTTTTGTCCCGGTCATATTTTATTTTTATTCATGCTCTTTGGTATTGTAATTACTCATAGCGACGAAATATATATATTAAAAAAAAAAAAAAAAAATGATAAGGTTGATGAAGTATAACTAAAATCGATTAAAGTGTAAACGATAAGTTATCGTTTACACTTTAATCGATCCACACGGCATTTGTAAATAAGACTAAGCCGTATTGCAATAGTAACGACGGGCCAAGAAGAATTTTCTCGGAATTTTTTTTCTTAAGCCAACGATGGCCACCTTAATGAGAGATAATATTTTTTACATACATTTTTTTAGAGAGCGTCACGTGACCGAAGTCTCATGTTAAGCGGAGTTTTGCTTTTTTTCAAGAAAAAATTGAACTTTGAAATGGACATAAAATTGATAAAGCTAATTTGATGAAAAAGTTAACATCTTGTGATAACTATGGTAGGATTTCTATAAAAAATACGGTAATTTTTTTTATATACAGTCGATAATTATTTAAATTGTTTGTATTTAATGAGTAATCAAATTTTAACAGTTGTTTTTCCTTGTAATTGGTCACTAACCAGGTTAATTTTTGTCACATATAATATATGACAAAAATTTATTTTGTCATATTCAGTAAGTCATATTGTTAAAGTCTGATCATTCAATATTTAAATGAATTTAAAAAAATAAACATAGTTAAATTATTGCCTAAAAATTCATGTATAACATAAATCTTTTATATTTAATGCAATTAAATCATGTAAATACAAGTTAAAATACCTGAATTACATAAATTTCAAATAATATTTATTGTATTTTGTTTTTATGATTCTTAGAACAATAAATTTAGGAATCAGGTTTTTTTTTGAAATTGAAACTTTTAAATATAATATTTACAAAATTGTAATCAAAAAGTTTTTTTTTTTTAAATAGGAACAAAAACAATGAAAAAGATAAAGAAACTTTAAAATCTACTTTTAATGTTAGAAGTGGTCCCTTAGAATACACAACACTTCATGATGCAGTTTTTTCTAAAAAGCCTGATAACGTTAAGCGAATACTTGATTATGGGGCAGATGTAAATTCGATGTCGGATGGTCGTTATACACCACTGCATATAGCAGCATCTATAGATGCATGCAGCTGCATTGAAGTGCTACTTAAATATAATGCTAACACAGAATTATGTGATAAAAACAATAAAACACCATATGAAACAGCAGTTTGTAATAGTTGTGTTAATTCTGCTCGACTTCTACTAAGTCATGGTTAGCCACTGTAATTATCAAAAGTTTTTATAATGAGCTTATTTTTTTTTAGTTTCTATTATATTTTTGTAACTATTTTGACACAATTAAAAGTGTTAAATAAAAATGCATTCTTTTTATGCATATATATATATATATATATATATATATATATATATATATATATATATATATATATATATATATATATATATATATATATATATATATATATATATATATATATATATATATATATATATATAATTGATTTTTAACTCAAGTTATACTTATTCTATTAGTTATACTTTATGAAAAAAAATTGTAATCAGAGTTATACTGAATAAAAAAAAAATATCTTAATACATTGGGTTTGCGACCAGGAAACAACATTAGATTTTAAAATGCTGGGTAATGTAAGCAAGCTTTCGATATTATTGATTTTTTCTCTTGATTTTGTTTGTACAGACCTTTTGATGTTAAAAATAGTTGTATAAAAAATAACCTAAACATTACATCTGAGATTTTAGCTTATATATCTTTCAACAATTGGAAACCTCACTGCTTCTAATATTAAAGATTTGAACATACTGTGATATCCACCTCTTTTTGATTCAAATAAACCGGTTGCTACTAATGTTGTCATGCTTGATCTGTCTAAATCATCAGATTCTTTTAACAGCCTTAAACAATTTAGAGGCTTTCCTAAAGCTAAAAAAAAGAATTGTAAAAGAAAAAGAAAGAAATTTATTTTATTTAAGTTAGAGAAAAGATGTTTTTTGATGTATTTTTTTGGTCTCATTCAAATTGCATACAAGGTTCCTATTCCATTTAAAGACGCACTGATAAACAATAGAATGTTTACCATACTTCTGGGTTGTAAAAGATGGTATGTTTAGTTTTCCATTGTATATATTTTTAGCAAAAAATGTATTTGTATACTTTGCTAGATTAGCCAAGATGAGATAAGAATAATGCATAGAAAATATTCTTAAGTGTAAATTTATTGTCATAACGACAAATTATTGAAAGTATACCGTTAGTTAGAGATTATAATTTATTTTGATTTTGATTTCAATATTTTTAAAGAAATAGTTTTTTTCAGAGATAAAAAAAAATTTGTTCAGTTTTTTCGGTGTTAGGACATATTAAGTTAGCATTTAACTAGTAAACTATACCTTTTGGATCCAAATTTACATTTTTAAATAAAGAATAATACAGTTTGTTGATGTGCAAGAGATTTATATTATCAACAAAGAGATAAACTGACAAGAAGTAAATAGAGTTGGTTAGACCATTAACAGGTATTAAAAACAAAAGAGCATAGATTAAAAACAAATAAACAGAACCTTGAGGAACACTACACAAAACTGATTTATTACTATAATTAAAGCCATTAATACTTACAAATTGTTTTTGATCTGAAAGTAAAGATCGAAATCAGTCATTTACAATCCTGAAAATTCTGATTTAGAAATCAAAATACTATACATTGGTATCCACATGTACCCTGAAGGTGACCTTAGACCTTACATCAAGTCTCATGAAATTTTTTTTTGATTTTGAATATAGTACATTTATACATTCTGAAACCATCTAAGTTTAAATCATTTGTTGGTAACTTTCTGAGAAAACTTAGTTAAAAGTTTTATAAATAACAATGTTTTCGTATTGAAATAGTATTTTTCTGTCAGCCATTATAGTTGTTTACTTTCTGTAATTGCAGCAGTGCAATTGGCTATAATAATATTTATTAGTTTTCAATTGGTTTATAGTTATTGTTGTTTTAAAAGACTTTAACAATATTTATAAACATATTTAAAAATGACAGCAACATTATTTAATTATTTAAGTAAAAAACTTATATTAACTTAAGATTTAAGAGCTGAATTAAAAATATAGGAACTATTTTTCAAAAATAGAAAAGATATGTAATACTTTGCAAAAGATCATAATGAGTTTTAAAAATGCTTTTGCATATATTGTATGAAAAAAAGTAATTCATTGCTTTTTTTCATATAGCATATGCATTCAAACCAAATGCAATAAATCAGGTATAAAACAAGGAAAAAATTATGAAAATCTTGTTAAGTGTTAAAAACCCTGATCTGCCTATTATGTTATGTTTTTATTGCAGAAAAGGTCTAGTGAGTGTTAAGAAAACAGATTCAAAAAGATTTTTATTCAACGATCAACCTAAGTAAAAAAGTAAGTTTTATAAAAAAAATAAGCAAATAAAAACAAATTATATTTTGCATTATTATTGTTCTGTTTATAAACAATATTGTGTTTAGACTAAAAAAACAACTTTTTATTACTTTTAGATCTTAATACTAGAGTTGTTCTTGGTGGGAAATGTGAGTGTTTTATTTATGCTAATGGACGTAACAACCCGACAAGAAAGGTATATGTGACCATAGTGGAATAAAAGTGTGGAACTATATTCCAGTTGATGATTGATTGAATGACACATGTGAAACACATAATGCATCCACATAATTATTCCACTTTGTTTGGTTTAATCCTTAAATAAATACGTTACAAATTAGATGTGGCTATCATATGGGCCATACATATAAAATATATAATCTTGTCTCATTTTAAATTTTAAACTTTAACTAATTGTAAACTACAATTCCATTCCAATGCATTGTAGTAAACTCTAGAACATTCCATGATATCATGTGGTTTACAGTTTTGATACATTTTAATTCATAGTTGTAAGTATGTTCGAATAGTTTTCTAATGAATATATTTGACAATTGTTATTCAAAACAATTTTTCAATAAAATTTGTAAATCAGAGTTACACTTAACAAATAAAAATTTGTTGTTATACTTAATGAGTGTTAACTTTTCGTTGTTGTTAACTTAACTTGTTGTTAACGAGTTATACTTAAGTTATGCTTATTCTATTAGTTATACAAAAAAAAAATTGTAATTCAGAGTTATATTCAATGAAGATAAAAATATCTTAATACGTTGGGTTTGTTACCAGGAAACAACAATAGATTTTAATACGTAGGGCAATCTGAGCAAGCTTTCGATATTATTGATTTTTTCTCTCAATTTTGTTTGTACATGGATTTCATATGAAACTATCTTTAGCTACTGTTCAAAGACATTCTAATAATGCTAGATAAAGAGTTTGAAGAAAATATTGTGTCTTCATTGCATGATTCATCGGATTATTTTTGTGTACAGAACTAATACAGAATGAATTTTTGAAATTTAATGAAAAGTTGTTTTACGTATATACTTATCTATAAATAAAATTCTTAATAAAAGCAAGAAGTATGATGTTTTTCCATTTAAGTTTTTAACTGGTATTGGTAAATAAGTATTAAACTGTATGTATACAAATAAGTATACATACAGTATGTTACTTATTTTTATTGGTATATATGTATAATTATTTGTAGATTCTATACATAAATAAATCTACTGAGTTCTTAAAATATGATATTTAAACAAGTCAAAATATTTGCTTATGTATTTGTTATAACTTTCTTTTAAGAAAATAGTGCGGCATTCATTCTTATCTAGTGTGGTTTTAGTGGGATTTTAGCCACATATCGAATGCATCAAAGTCATCCCATAAAAAATAGCATAAATAATTTCTTGTTGGGAATGGTACTGAAACAGCAATTTTTCCACCAATTGTTTCACCTGAAACTAATACAGATATAGATCATAATCACTAATTTGAATCTTTCCACAAGCAATGAAAATCTTTTTCTTTGAAAAAGTTGTTTTCAACAAATACTAAAAGATATCAGACATTCTTGCACAAAGTTAGCTAAATAAAGGAATTTGACGCATATTGTACAATCCACCTCACCTGTAATAAAAGGAAAAGTTTTATCAACCACAATGAACAATTTAGTAACCCATAACGCAAAAAAAAAGTTGAACAATTTTGGTCCTAAAAAGCTTGTTGTTTCTAATGGAGTAGTTGAACAAAAACGCAAGTTTTTTACACTCAAAACTGAAAAAAACTACAGAGCAAACTTCATAGAGGGTATAAATTGTGTATTACAAAATTCAAAAAATATAAATTATTTTAAAAAAATATTAATTTTTTTAAACATGTGTGTTGATTTTACTAGTAACTATGAGATGTTAGAAATTGCCTGATTTATACAAGTGAAAGGAGGAAAAAAATCTGTTGAGTCTTGTTTTTCTTAAAAAGTTAACAGAAGAAAACAAAAATCTATTGTCTTTGTTTGATGTTGAACTTATGCTGAGACTCGGTATAAACAGGAGATACCGGAGTATACATATACCAAGCCGGTATTTGGTCATAAAAAGATGTCTTTTGAACCTACAAAAGATGTTTAGAACGTCTTTTGAATGTTCATAAGACATCTTTTTAGAATCAAATGCCGACTGGGTGGTGTTTTACTTTAACTAGCTTCACTAAAATTAATATATTATAATAAAAATATTTTTTTATGCTGCGTTCCTGAGCAGCAAACAATATTGGAGCAATATTGTGTACAAACTTTACATGTTGTAAACAATATTGTACCAATATTGTTTGCTACTCGGGGTATAATTTTATATTTTGATTTTTTTGAAAGTTGACAATTTAAAATAGATTGTTATCCTCGGACTTGAAGTTGTTTTATTATTGTTTAGTGTATTGAAAGAACTATTCCTGGTGTAAGAAACAATAATGTTGATGAATTTCTTGCAACAGTTTTACAACATAGATCTTTTGAACCAGAGAATGTTGATGTTAAGATTAGGGTAGATGGAGGGCAAGGCTATTGGTAGATGGAGGGCAAGGCTATTATATAAAGGTTACCAAATCAATTACATTAAAGCCAGAGCATTTAAGTGAAAAAAAAAGAATGAAATATTCTGATGAGTACGGATCTAAAGATTTCAAGTACACTAGTGTTCACAAAACTTTAGTTTTGGCAGTACTACCCTCTAATGATGAAAAAAACGACAGCTAACTATTAAAAAGTGATAAATTAGTTGATGTTCTAACTAGAAAGCCCAAATTGTTATCAG